AAGCTGAATAAATACGCTTTCCATTGATGCATGGTTTGTTAGGAGAGGACAATATTTGGCCGAAATACATCTATTTGGAATTAGATGAAATTTGGAAAATCTGGAATCTGAGGGTGCAAACAAATCTAAATATTGAGAAAATCGCCTTTAAATTGTTCCAAATGAAGTTCTTAGCAATGCATATTACTAATCAAAAATTAAGTTTTAATATATTTACAGTAGGAAATTTACAAAATATCTTAATGGAACATGATCTTTACTTAATATCCTAATGATTTTTGGCATAAAAGAAAAATCAATAATTTTGACCCATAAATAAACCCATGTGACTTATGACTGGTTTTGTAGTCCAGGGTCACAAATACTTTATTCAGCAACAGTGCATTCAATTGATGAAAAGTGACAGTAAAGACATTTATAATATTATTAGTGCCGTCAAACAAATAATCGCGATTAATCGCATCCAAAATAAAAGTTTTTGTTTACATTATATATGTATGTGTACTGTGTATATTTATTATGTATATATAAATACACACACATACAGTATATATTTTGAAAATATGTACGTTTATACATTTATATTCTTATATTTTATATTATATATAAATATATTTAATATATAAACATTTTTCTTAAATATATACATGCATGTTTGTATTTATATATACATAATAAATATACACAGTATACACACATATATTTTGTAAACAAAAACGTTTATTTTGGATGCGATTAATCGCTATTAATCGTTTGACAGCACTAAATATTATAAATTAATTCTGTTTCAATTAAATGCTGTTCTTTTGACCTTTCTAGTCATCAAATAATCCTGAAAAAAATGTATTAGGGTTTCCAAAAAATATTAGGTAATATAAATTTTTTAACATTAATAATAATAATAATAAGTGTTTCTTTGGCAGCAAATCATCATATTAGAATGATTTCTGAAGGATTATGTGACACTGAAGACCGGCTTAATGATGCTGAAAATTCAGCTTTGCCATCATAGGCTTAAATTACATTTTAAAATATATTAAAGTAGTAAAAGAAATTACACATTAAAATAGTAAAAAAAAATAAAAAAGTAATAATATTCACAATATTGTTGTTTTTACGAAATATATGTATATTTTATTTTACTGTATATTACATTATAAAAAAATATAATTAAATATAGTTTATTCATCTGTCATTCTTGACACTACACTATTTATTCACACATAAATTACTTCACTTAAAATAAAATACAATACAAAAGATATTTATTACTTTATCTTACATTTATTTTTCTTGCATTTAAGTGTTTTTATTGGTAGCATTACAATATTTGTGAGATAAGTAGTAAACAGTTCAAGCGCGTTTGTTTATTAGCAGCATATATCCTCTGTAGGTAAATGGCTTGGCACAGTCAAATGTACTGGGAAACATTTCAAAGCCATTTGTCCATGTGTGGCAAAAATCAGCAGAGGATAAAACACAAATATAGCACTCGGCAGCTCAAAGGGATCCAGCTGACATGCTAACTTTTCCCGTGTTTAATTAACACTTATTTTAGACTTCACTTTACAAACACCTGCTGGTTAAAGATAAACAGATTGAACATGAACACAAAAATTTACACACTCAAACTTAAATGTTGCACAATTTAATTGCTGTCTCATTGAACTGAACCTATGTCCTATCCTTCTGCTAAGTTTGAGAATACATTGTAGTACATAACTGAAATGCAGTCTCGCAAACCTTTATCTCTCAACACCAAATCAGTCAATGGAGTGTCTTTAGTTTGTGCATCAACCAAACTGATCCACGGAAAAAGGCTGTAAGACAACAGAGACAAACTATTATAACCGTATAAAGCAAGGTTGAGTAATAGTCGTAATTCATTTTGAACATCTACAATAAGACTCACTCATCAGGGTTATTGAGATCAGATGCACTGGGTGAATTTACAAGACTGTGATAAGTGAATGTGTTTGTCTCAAACAGCCCGTTTAGCAGCCGAAGAGTCTTTCCGGAGCCCAGCTTCTGAGCCGTGCACATGTTGAGGAGACTGTAGAGCACAGCAGATATCCATCTCTGATCCAGGAAGAGGCCACCTTCAGCAAACAGTGCGAGTTTACTTAATGGGGTCTTATAGCTCACCGTACAAAAACCATATTGACTTCACATGACAGATGGATATAGACACATTTGGAAGGGAAATAAAATGATTATTGTGTGTTTAAGCAGCTAGTTATAAAGTTGCAAGAAGCAATTAAAAGAATTCCTACAAAAGATATTTGTGCATCTAAGATTAATCATGTTTCATTGAACTTTTTAAATAATTTGTCTAGAAAAAAAACAACATATGGCCTAGCTGCAATTACAGATTAAAAAATGATTCCTAGTGAATTTACACTACTGTTCAAAACAGTTATGCTGCTTTATATTTTTGTGGAAACGTTTTTTTTTTATATTGTTTTTTTTATTAGTTTTATAACAACTGTGAACAAAAACACACCAAAAAAAACTAAAATATTTTTGTGGAAACCTTGATTCATTTTCTTTGATAAATAGAAAGTTCAAAAGAACACCATTTATATTAAACATATTTTTTCTTGACTGTTGCTTTTGATCAATACAGTGCATCCTTGATGAATAAAAGTATTAATTTCTTCAAAAAAATACTGACCCCAATTTTTTGTAGTGAATAATAATAATAATTATTATTATTATTATTTCTTCTTAGTTATTTTAATATGTATAACAGTGACAGATGGATATTGACATATTTTGAGAGGAAATAAAAATGTATTGTCAAAGATACATCTGCAATTTTCACACACCATTGATTGAAAGAGGAACTGAGGCTGAAATCACGTCCTTATCCTGTAAAGCTGCGGTAACCTGATCGTGAAGATGCCAAATTCTATTGACATCATCACAAGCCACAAACTCATACTGGGGTTTGATAATAGAACTGTGGTCAAGGAGCACAGCAAGCCTGAAATTAAGAAGAAGAAAAACTATAACAACCTAATATTTAGAGATAATAATAATAATAATAATTTTGTAGTAAAATAAAAAATACTTAAAAAAGGAAAATAACTTTTTATTGCCATTACTCCCTCAAAATCTAATTTGGAAGTATAATCAAAATTTGAGAGACAATCAATCAACAAACAGATAACAAAGCACAGATAGTTTTTCTTATTCCATAATAAATAACAGTGGGCTAATAATCTTAAGTATGTTGATCTGAATACCTGTTGAGTGGCACTGCTGAGGTGAAGCTGTACACCAGACAGCCTGAAGACAGATGGCAGCGGATGTCTGCGCAGACTTGAGCTAGTTGAGAGGGCAAGACACACAGGAACAGCATGTCTGCCCATTTAGCCAGTCTAATGTTGTCAAAGTAACACTCAGCACCCATGTTTGAATATTCTCCTATGGGCCAATGAAAGAAAAGAGATTTTTTAAAATAAACTAATAGGTCTTGATGAAAATTCTGATTTATCTATTAAGGCATACGAGTGTAACACTCTCTGGTTTTCAGGAGCATTTTTATGATTCGTGAAGCATAAGAGTGGAAACTGCTCTTGACTGCATAATTACTATGACAAGTGGTCACATGCATGTGGACCTTCACATGGGTTTCTATAGTAACGCCGTGTGCATGATTATGCAGCTTTGATGGGCCTTCAAGGATACACACACTCACAAATACGTCCAGCCTGACCCAGTGATTTGAGGACTATCACAACTAGTGCTGTGTTCAAAATATCGATACGACGATGTATCGTC